CTCAAATGAAGGGTCATCGTTCTGAACTAGGCGCTCTTCGAGTGGTGGAAGTGACCGGAGAAGCTCTGTTGCTTTGTGATTCTCGATCTGCAGGCAATCCAGAAGATAGGTACGTTCAGAGTGAAGCTCGTCGAAGAATCGTGGATGTGGTGGGGGAATGTGGAATCTGCGATCTTGTGAAGGCATGATGTCCCTGGCAAGCGAGGGTGGAGAGAATGGGTGGTTGGCTGGGTTCGTTGGAATCTTGGTACCAATTGGTGAAATTGCAAACGAGAGGAGCTCCTCGATGCGATTGCGATCAAGTTCAGCACCGATGGGTGAAGTTGGGGAGCACAGCAGATCTTCAATTCGGTTTCGATGTAGTTGAGCACTAGCGGGAGAAGCTGGGGAGAACAGCTTCTCATCAGATCGATTCTGGTCGAATTCAGACGTGGTGAGAATTGGGGGTTGAGACCAACTGCGATTGATAGCTCTACTCGCTTGGACACTTGGAGGTAGATAATGTGGTGAGAACATGACGAGGGACTTTTGATGTAAATGGCAGTCTATATAGCCAACCACACTAATGGCCGGTGGGCATTCGCGAACTTCTGCGAAGAGCAAAAGGAGAGGTTCTGGAAACTACCTCCAGGCGGAACGCGTACGAATTGCATGAAAACCCCAGAAGTTTTGAGATTCTAGCTTTCCAGAACAAGGCAGCTTATGGCTTCCCAACATGTGCGTAGCTGCTCGTGTCTTCCATTGACAAAGGAGTGCGGATTGTGCATCCGCTTGGAGTACGGTGAAAGGAACTGCTGCATTGTCCAATAAAGAAAGGCTTCTCAGATCAGGACCGAAGGTGCTGCATGCTACAAGATCCCTTGCTCTCCCCGAAAGGCACGTGCTTTGAAGGTCTGGAAGGTCGAAGTCGGGCAATGTGGAGATAGCTTCGTGCAGCCTGAGGCGTAGAGGGTTGTAGCTCTGAACCGCCTGGCCAGACGATATGAATCGTATCGGATAGCCTCACAGCCATGTTTAGCGACAGTGAGTTGAGACAAGTTGCCCTTCCCAGATGTCGATCGATTGTGTTGACGGATGGGGAGAGGGGGAGAGGGGAGGGGAGGCTGAAAAAAGTGGGAGTTTTCCAGAGACCAGAGATGTGGAACTGGCGGACGATCTTCCGCGAAACAAAATGCCCGTGTCGCATGTCCCGTGTCCGTGCAGCGGCCCCGAAGCCTGCCTTGCCTCGCCCGCTCCGCCTGTGCCTGTGCGCCTGTGCCTGTGGCTGGAGCCCCATGAACGAAGACCCTGGTGAGTCGTGACCTGCATTGTGGACACTTCAAACCGACGCTCGACGCTGCTCCCAAAACCTCGAACCTCGAACCAGAGCGCCCTCTCTCCTACGACTCGTCGATGATTCTCTCAAGCACCTTCATTTCCGTCTCGCCATTGCCCTCCATCTGCCTGCCCTTCCCGAGCATCGTTCCCGTTCAAGCCGCATGGCAGCCCTCCTCGCCGTAAGCTCTCGATGAGCGTGGGATGCACGCGATGCCTCTCCCACCACGACTGTTCTCTGGCGATGAAGAGCTGGGCAAGAAGGACGATGACCACAGACGGGGAGGCAGGACGCCAATGGGCCTTGCCTGGCACCACCGGCGAATACCACATGGACCCCATCGGAGAACCTTGAAGAGGCTTGCTTGGGCAATTCTTGCATTCCTCGTGCTCTACTATTTCTTCAAGAATATGCCAACGGACCTCGAAAATCCGAGGCAAAGACCGAACTACGGTTTCCCGGCGGGCCCAAATGCACCTCCCCCAAAGTCTTCTCTGGGCAATCAAGACTTGGCATCCAGACCCAGCCAGGGAAGAACCATAGAGTCGGCGGCGCACGATTTTAATGGCCCGATCAAGTTCTTCCACCTTGCCTCGACACTGCATGCCGCTTCCAAGACGAGGGGCTCGGAACTAGTCAATCACAATGTGCTCTTTGCCGCTGCGAGCTTGAAAAGTGCTGCGAGACTACTACCTATAGCTTGCGACATGGCTATCAGAGAGAGAAACTATGTACATTTTGCGCTTATAGGAAGGGACGACATTTCCATGGATATTCTGAGATCCGTGAATGGGATAACAAAAGAATGCAAGATCATATTTCACGGTATGCCTGAACAAAGCCATGTGTCGAGTGACTCTAACCCTTCTAGATGGACGGCCGGATTTCTCTCTCCAGAGCACAGATTTCCGGATGGAGGTCGCGGCATCTGCTGCATTTAACCATATTAATACCTTTATACATCCGCAAGCAACATTTGTAGATGCATCTGGGGAAGAAGAAATATGGTTCTTGAAAGGTGTCAAGGATCGTGCGGTTACGGCTGGCAGGACGGTAATCGACCTTCCAGAAAATGCAGAGCAGAATTTGATGTGGATTACAATGCTGGACAGTTCTTCTTTGAGTGGTATGTTGCCTCCGGCTTGGTGGAGCTCACTGCTAACTCGTGCAGCTTGGAATTCGATCACCATTGATATTGTTGTCCATGCCCACTCCTCGTCTTCCGGATCATTAATGAGATTGCTGAATTCTTTGAAGAATGCTGACTTCTTCTCCTCTGCTCCGCCACGACTAACAATCGAGTTACCACATAACGTTGATGAGCCATCTCGTCGATATCTATCGCGCTTCAAATGGCCACCAGCCACGCAGAACATTGGAAGCCTACTCACATTACATCACCGAATTCCACAACATGGACTTTCAGCAGAAGAGAATTCAATCCGAATGCTGGAATCCTTCTGGCCTTCAGACCCTTCTACCTCACATGTTCTTGTTCTTTCTCCTCAGATAGAACTTTCGCCACTGTTTTTCCACTATCTCAAATACAGCCTGCTCGAATATGTATACTCTTTCAGTAAATCAGATCCGCAGCAGAATGTAATGGCTATCAGCCTTGATATCCCGTCGACCTATCTAAACGACTCGACCGTGTTCGTCCCACCTTTGACAAATATAACCAAAGGATCAAATATTGTGGCTAAAGGGATAAGCCCGTTTTTGTGGCAAGCACCAAACAGCAACGCTGCATTATATTTCGGCGAGAAGTGGGTTGAGCTGCACGACTTTGTCGCACAAACCCTCTCGTCTGAGCACACATCACCGACTGCGACAACACTTCAAAAGAAGGAGGTTAGCAAGACATACCCTTCATGGCTTGAGCATGTGTTGAAACTTGCCCGAGCCCGCGGGTATTGTACAATTTATCCAAATTTCGAGAATGCAGATTCTCTAGCCACGTTGCATAACGATTTGTATCAACCTCCTGAGGAGTATAAGGAGGAAGTTGAGGCAGAACCTGCTGAAGGGGAGCTGACCGCTGATCCGGCGAAGCATTTATCACTCAAGCATACGGAGACGCCTTTGATCACGAAGTCTCTGCTGAGTATGTTGCCGTTCAAAGGAGAGTTGCCTAAGATGGCGGATATGCCTTTAGTGAGCTGGGATGGGAACCCAACCACTGTAGCAGATCTTGAGCAACATGCTATCCAGTATTCCAGCGTATTTAGACGGGAAATTGGAGGTTGTGATGAGAACACGCCTGACAAGGTTCGGGACGACTTCAATGCTGGGGACCTATTCTGTTTAAATGATCCGTGATGTACATACTATGTATCTGAAATGTATAAATGAGTTACCATTAATGACCCAATCATCAAATCACGTAGTCGTGATGATCGTGACTGCTCTCTTGGCCATCTCTCTATTATGAAAATGCATACATTGGTGTGATCCAATAGACTTTTTTTTTTTATAGAAAAAGTCGGTTATCATTCATTTTCATGGAAATGGACATACGTGATAAATGCGATTAATACAATTTCGAGCGAAGCACCACTGTTGAACTTCTGATGCCGCCTTAAGTCACTCACACTTGCTCGTGACGAACGCTCCACTAAACACATATTTGAGTGTCTGGAAATTCTTGAAAGTGAAGGAATCCAGGGGCTTGGCAAGAAGAATGAACTTGTAGATGATAAACAAGAGCGTGATAGGCATAGTGAGTGATACAATTGAAATATTCTTGGACTTGACAGTCACCATGAGGGTGGGAAGATGGGAAAAGTACAATAGAATGACCGGATCAGTGGGTTGTTCTTTGGTGGGAAAGAGTAAAGCCAGATTTCTAGGCTGGTACTGATGAGGAATTGGGCAACGTAAAGTTCAAGAGGATAAGTGCGGCTGCATATCTGAAATGTTTGAATTAACTGTAGCTTGAAATAGAACTAGCGGTTATAGAAAGAAAGAAAAGAGAGAGAACATGGTGATTGCCGCCTTGGGTGTATTGCTTTGCTACTCAGCCTTGAGCACAGCCTTTGTCCTAGTTGGTTTAGCTTCACGACTTAGTTGAGAGCAAAACTAGTGACAGTCTTATAGTATCTTTTGGATGATGCTTTCCAGGGGAGGTTCTGAACCTATAATTGTGGTTTGAAGTATCTCTTCTTGTCTGGAGACCTCTCACAGAACTTTGATTCAGAAACGTTTCTCAGGCAATAAAAGAGGTGTAACTAAAAATGATAAATAGGCGGCGTTCCCCGCTTCGCCTATAACCTTTCGACACGAAGACAAAATGTGTATATGTATGCAATAATAGTTTTTGGCCGAGTGGGGTCGGAGATATTTGGCTGCCTCGCGAGGCTCATGGTCGATCTCCTAAATAGTGGCGGTACAATCCAAAATTTAAGGAATTGTAGTTTTTTCTAAGATATTGAAAAATATAAAAGTACATCATAAGCAAGTCGAGCATTACTAGAAAAGTGGGAGGGGCAATGTTTTAAAGATTGGGCTGAATGGATGGCGTTCACGAGCAGGAGATGGTCCTTCTCTCGCCTAAAGTAAAGAATTTCGGCACCACTCTGTACAAATTGAAGAAATCGAAGCACTCTCTAACTGCGCAACATTTGAGGCGCCTCCATAGTAAAAAAATTGCGTGCAACCAAGAACTGGGTGACAAGAAAAAAGTAAATGATCAGGCTGGGGCTCGATCCCAGGACCTTCTCGGCATTGTATTAACAAATGTTAACGAGATGTGATAACCAACTACACCTAGTACTTGTTAGTGAAGTTAAGTTGTGAAATTTCAGGGCTACTAACCACCCGACCATTTTTAATGTGGAAGCAGAAGTCTTTATTCTCACCTATAAACTAGGTACGCTTGATGACATAAGCCAGATACGAAACGCAAGACCTCGTCCAATCAACGCCAGGCTAAAGACACTTCTTTTTTTAATTATAACTTTAATCGCCAATGCAGATCTCTATTAGGAGGTATCTTTGACGAGGAAGCGGGCCATCCTCGATAGTGCACTATAGGAGAGCCATTTCCTTCCACTATTCATGACTCACAATTCAGTGTCGGCTCATCGTCCTTGGTGGCTGATCCTTCTTGTACTCTTTTCCAGCGCAGTGAGCGCAAGTAATTGTGCTTTCCAATGCCTTAGAGCATTCCCTCCTTGTAACAAATTAGAGAATTGACAATCATCACTTTTCCGATGGAGGGAATAGTTATTATCACGTGATCACATTCTTGGGCTTGCACCACATAGATTTTATAAGAGTTAGAGTTTGAGGCTAGGGCCATTATTCAAGCTAGTACGCTCCTATCAATATGATTCCTTATTTTTCATATATACAATACCTCTGCTCAGGTCTGACGCCCCGTCCAGCTCTAGAACAGCGAAAGAGGAAGGAAATCTACACCTCATACCGATCTACCAATTCATAAGATCTAGAAAACGTTAGCTCCATTTCCTGCAAAGACGTTGGGGTAACTCACCTCTTCCAAACAAAGCCCTTTTAGCCCAGTCCATGGCCAACAATATTCTCGTCCTTAAGCTTACACTCTGTGCAAAATACACACTTCTCCACGCGTAGACCGCCCATAGCCCTCCGGTCAAATTCCATCCATTACCAAGATCAAAGACTGCTGAATTCCCAATGTAAGCTAAGCTGCCTAAATGATGATATTCAAACGCTTTATACACGGCTTCATCTAAATCACCGTCTCGTACATCATTGACGCGTAATCCTGGAGCTGCCCTAGCCATTTTGTTGAATTTATGTCCAAGGTACTGGCCCTGTTGATGAGCACGCTGAGCGGTGGCAGGCAGTGAAGTGAGTTTGCTATCAATCTGCATCAACAATTCGCGCAGCTCCCCAAAATCTAAAGTACCAGACTGGTCCTTGTCGTAGGCTGCAAAGAGCTTGTCGAGTCGTTTCAAATGGTCTGCAGCTTGTGGAAACCGCTTTCGAACTTTCTGAGCAACTTCCCTCCATTCTCCGAATGTGATTTGCATGGTTTCCGGGTCTTTCCCTTTTTCCCATGCTAGCGTGCGCAAGAAAGTCACGAGATGGTCGGCCACATTGTTCTGAACGGTCGAGCAGTCACCAATGGCGTATACATCTCCTAGAGGGGTACCGTTCAGCCGGAGATGGGTGTCGGTTTCGAGGGCGTGGCGATTAGTTTGTGCAGACCCAAGGGCTGCAGAGACCTTTTGGCAAAATTCCGTTTGTGATACTCCAGTAGACCAGAGGCAGAAGCCCATTGGTAGCTCTTTAGTGATCGTCTCTCCATGTTCGTCCTTCTGAGTGAAAAGGATCTTGTCTGCTTGAACCTCCTTCACCCGGGAATTTGTAAGAACCTCAACTTGATCTCTGGAGAAGCGTTCTTCTGCATACTTCGAGACTGCTTCGTCGTAGGTATTTAGAATGTGCCCTCGGCTTTGAATAAGATGTACCGAGATCTCATTCCGGAGAAGCTTTGGGAAGTGTGCGGTCAGATCTTCATTAAGAAGATCGAATAGTTCCGCGGCAAATTCAACTCCTGTTGGTCCGCCACCACTAACAACAAAAGAAAGAAGTCGCTTTCTCTCCTCATCCGGCGTCGTTGGTAGACATGCGTATTCCAAGTTTGTGAGAATGTGGTTCCTGATTTTCTGAGCATCGTCGATATCCTTCAGGAAATGGCAATGCTCCAAGCCCTTGACTCCGTGGGGATTCGTTGTTGACCCAACCGCAATAACGAGTTTGTCATATGGCAGATAGAATCGTACTTCGTTCCCATTGTTGTCTTTCTGGGATAACTCGACTAATTTCTCGGAGAACTCAATATTCTCTGCTGAAGCCCTAATGAAATGTCCCTTGACCCTACAAACAATTCGCCTGATTGGTTCTACCAAAGACCTAAACTCCAAAGTTCCAACCGTCGCCGATGGCAGCATAGGCGTAAAGAGGAAGTAATTGGTCGGCGAGACTAAAGTAACGTGGTATTCGTTGGGATTGAGTGTTTTCAACAGCGCAACACTCCCCCATCCACCTCCGAGAATCACCAATTTCGGCTTGTCTTTTTGGTTTTTCATTTCCGAACAATCGTCATCGTCGATCTGAACTTCTGCAATAGGGAGGTTCTTCGGGCCGCCAGTTCGTGGGCGTAGTGCTATCTCAGACACTTGAATGTCCCTAAAGGATAGGTCTTCCCGGTAAGTAGAGGCATCGTACAAGAAAAAGCCGACCACGCCGAGTCCTACGAAGACTATTGAACCTCCTAGCCACGCTGCTGATCGATAAACGAAGTTGAGGATCCACGATCGTCTTTGTGGTAGAGGTTTCCCGGACACGGTTCGAACTTGGCGGGGGAAGAGAAGCTGTCGCAACGAAGCTCTGCGAATTCCGGGGATCCTTTTCTGGAGATCTTGACCGGAATGGAGTAACCGCACACTCGAGGATCGATATAAGAGACATGATTGTCTCCAAGGAGTAATTGCGCATCTGCGAGAAACATTCACTCCCAGGCGGAATCGCGCTGGGTATGCCGCGGGTTGCCGCAGCATAGCTACCAATTGATCGAGTCGTGAGAGATTGTGAATCTTTATGAGGCATTAACCATATTCGCGCCAATTGCTGAGGCAAATTCGGTATGGATGAGGAGAGGATCTTCTTGAGTCGCTGTCACAGAGTAAAGGGTAATGTTGAGCTGTGGAGTGCGCGTAGCTCTCCTTATCATCGTATCTGACGTATGGTCGAGCTTGGGCGCTGGTGGGCGGAACAAACGGAAAAGGTAGCGCCCCACGGGAGAAAAATTATTCTTTTGCCTGCAGTAGGCTCACAAATACAACGTCTTCCAATCATACACACATAAGCTCCCAGCTTGCAAGAAATCAAATGTTACACAGGCTGAGAATTACTAAGCGGATCGAAGCATCGAGTGTGCCCCAAATATTATAGAAACGCCACCATCCCCCAGACTCCATTGCATTCAGAGAACGCCCTCACGCCTTCCCATGCCCTACCATATCCCAAAGCCCAAACGTTGTTTTCAATTCAACGGTTCCCATGAATGCTCCATACCAAATCAGTCAACGCCAAGTTCCGCATCGATAAAACGTCTAACGCCAGCTCGTATGCAGTCCTCACAGTTCATGTAACCATGGGCTCATGGCCGTTCTGTTGAGCTTCGTGTCTTTCGTCTCCATCTAACCCCAAATCGATCGTGGCAGGTAGATCCCTCTTCGTTTCTCGTGCAGTGTTCTCCGCCCAGGCTCGCAGGCGAACAAGACTTCTGATCGCAGCATCACGTCGTTGGTTTTGACAGGCTAGTATTGCCTTGTTGACTCTATCCGCAACAGATTGGCGAAGCCCGGGCTGTAGTAATGCAGCGAGGGGAGGCTCGAGACTGTCCGAGGGGAATACGAGCAACGCCATGGTTCTCTCTAAATCCTCCATGAACTCCCTGTTCGTAGGTGCTCTTGGAGCCAACTGTGCTGTAGCAAAGTTCAGTGCCGGGGTGATGTCGCCGCCAGGTGATGCATTGCACGTGCGAATGAGCTCGACAAGTTGAAGTCGGAGAAGAGCAAAATGCAGGGATGGATTGCTATCAAGAACCTATTGTACAAGTGTCAGTTTGAGACTGGCATAGAAGATGATGTATATTGTGGAAAGTATTAAGTTGCTCATACTGAGGACTGAAGTTGGTATTTTTTCTCATCACCGACCCGAAGGCTATATGAGTGGTGCATGAAACTCGTGTCTAATCATAGCAAAGGCGAGTAGAAGAAATTTATGGACCACTAACCTGGGGTTCTAGCTCGTTCAGTGCATCGACAGCTTCTTGAATGTTGCCAGAGTGGATGGAATGCTGGATCTGTCGTCGAGCTTTCACCGATTCTTCTTCTTGCTGCGGTCGGAGATTCGCTTCTTTGGAGAACTTTGCAGCAGCAGAGGGATACCCTTCCGTTGTGAGGTAGTCGAGAATGAGAGCATTGATGTCACTGTAAATGGTAGTTCTGGTTAGCTGAGGTGCTTGTGCTATTGGTACGAGTGCTCGAGTATGTAGACGATGGATCAGAAAGACAACTAAATAAGTTCTCCGCATGCGTAATTTTTTAGGAGAGATTCCCAGTTGATGAAAGTCATCATATCGAGGTGCCGAGTTGGGTTGAGGACCAACACTGAGGAAGACTTGGTGGGGAACGTATAGCCATACCTTTTCAGCGGCTTGATGTCCTCAACGCGTCTCTCGAAGGCATGCCGCAAAGGAGTAGCGGTCGACGCTGTGGAAGAAGCCTAAGACAGTCAGCCTCAATGCCGTGAAGATCGGGTTCCTGAACGAACCATTCTTGCAACGACGATGATTAGACTACCGGCGTCTAGTCTCCATATGTCATAAGGAGACCGGCTATGCGGAAGGCTAGAGCGTCCAGCACTTCGCAGTCTCGTGGGGATGCACGTTCGTGAATGATGAAAGCAAGAGAAAGTGGTTGTGTTGCAAATTTCAGCACAGCTGCCCTAGCTCGCCTCGCCTATAACTAGCGTAGTGGATGGAGCCGCGGGCTGACTTAGGACTAGGCGGGCTGCACGTGACAATCATCAGCCAGACCTCAGTTCTGTCCATCAGGACCTAGCAAGAGAAAGGCATGAGCTTCCTAAGATTCACGAGTGCCGCCGTGTTCGCTCCTTTCACAGCATGATCTGATTCATATACTCTGCCGGTTATACGGGCATGCTATCTGCTCCAATCGCGGCTGCTTCCGAGTCGAAAGTCCTTCGGAACTTCC